TTAAAGTTTACATTAGCAGAAAAAACAAATGAAATATAATAAACTAAAATATAAGAAGAGAGGGGTTTTGGTATCATAAAATGTAAAAAAAAATGGGTCATATTGCTCATACAAATGAGTTGTAACATGACTAATTTGAAAGGGGAAAAAAACATTATTTAATGTTGTGCCTAATTGTTAAAGAAAATTACTCTAGAAGTATCTTAAATTCTAATAATGTAATCTAAACAAATCTACCCTTATCGTACCATGTTTTCGATCCCTTTCCACGTAACATAGGGTAGAACACTAATTTGGACAACCTTATCCCTTCCCCTCTAGTCCCCGGATTCCCAAACCTAACCCTCCCTTGGATTGCTATTTTCTTCTTGTGGGATTATTTTGGTAACAGGATTATTTTGTCCATAGTTGAAAAGTGCAAACATCAGATTGGAGGGGTAAGGATTGGGTAATCCAATCCAGAGTATTTGGTGTGATATCCTACTTATGGATTTTACTTGCGTGTTATTAGATCACACTCGGCTTTATGATAAAATTGTGCTTAATTATACTTTTTAAACCAAGATAACCAGGAATTTAGATTTGTTAGGAATTTTAAGCGATTTAGGATTTTAATTCTACTTGATATTTTAGATTTTATTTCTATCCCTTATTTTATTGGACAAAGCTTTGTGTAGAAACTTATAAGAGCTTTGGCATAATTGTATTATGCTTAGAAAAATTTATGGATGTGCACACTTGTAATCTTGTGTTCTTACTCATAATACAAATAAAGGTTAATTACATTAAAACCTTCTCAATTTGCGAATCTCGTCTTACCCCCTCATCTATGACATGTACATTTTGATCCCCCCTTAACTATAAAAATGCATCACTTTCAACCTCATGCCCTGTTCTAGAAGGGCCATTTGTACAGTTTTTTATAGTTAAATGGGGCCAAAATGCACAAGTTCATTGATGAGGGAAGGTAGGTAAGGTGTTATTCGCTAGTAGTTGAGGGGGTGTTGATGTAATTTCGCTTAAAGTAAGTACTTTAAAATAGTTCTATATTATCAAGTGGCTGTTGGTTTAATTATCAAGTGGCTGTTGGTTCCTTAATGGATAGACTAGTGGTGGAAGCAATATTTGGTTCGCTGTTGTCTCATATTTTTTGTCTTTGATCATTGCAAAGCGTAGTTCTATATTACACCACCCTATCATTCTTGGATCTACTTTGTTCAAATTTCTAAGGTGGTATTCCCATCTTCATGGATCTACTTTTCTTGGAGTTTGCAGGGTCCAAACCCACTCTCATGTAAGAAGAAAAAGAATTGTGGCCATGCCAAAGCAAATCTTGTTTCAGAGAAGGTGAGTTATTTCTGAATGCTTATACTCTTCAGTCTTCCCTTTTTCTTGTCTGCTTTATATTATTTGAGGGCAATAATTTGATATTTGGTGATCCTGGCCATACTATGGTACAGAAGCAGGTATCAAGATCCATCGTTTCTTGACTTTTGTAATTGATGAAGAAAACCTAAGAAATTGGGAAGATACATTGTTAACTGACTGTTTTCCTTCAATTGAGTTCTTTAGAAAGCAGAGATTATTAGTTGTCTTTGTAATTCCATGCAGTTGGGTCAATATAATTGCTCTTTGATGGATAGAATGATGTATATTCTTAAGTTAGTTTAGGCACTCTATGGAATTAATGGCTTCCTATATTCATGGTTGCAAATGGGTCTTGTGATGAAAATTGGAGCCATCACCATATCTAAGCATTATTATGTTTCCATTAAACATGACATTTTAGTTTCCTTTCGAGAAATTCTTCAAAATTATGACTATTATATGATTATCGTAGGGCAATGATCCGGTGATGGGACAAGTATTATACTAGTCAAAATGAAATATTTACAAATACTATTTTATGACAAAATTCACATGTCATTTTTATTTCGAACAACTAGGCATTTGTATAATTTTTTTATTCTTTAGTGGTCCAAATATATTATTTCAAAATAACAAATAAAGTAAATTTTTTTAGTGGTATCTTTTTGTGGTCCATAACATTTATACACTAGAAAAAATTAAGATTTGTTTTCGAAATTTACTTTTTTGGTGTTTTTTTTTTTACTTTTTATAGAAAAACATACAAAAAATAAATAAATAAAGAGAGTAGTTGATTTTTTTTTAGTGATTTTTTTGACTTTTTTAAACTAAAATTGAGAGTTTCTAAATAAATAAAAATAAGACAAACAGTAAGCGGGTCGGGTTAACCCATGACCAACTAGGGCCCCCAACCACACAATGGGGGTGATTTGGGGGAATATGATTTTGAGGCCCAAATTTGATTGATTTAAATCCTTGAAAAAGAACCACAATAAATATCCGTTACATATTTGTAATGGATGATGATGATGATTCATCATCTTCCACTTGTTTGTTTTTTCCATTCTGCAGTTGAATTTTGCAACCATTTTTAGAGTAAAAGAGTAGAGGGATATGGCTATGGGGTTGGCATCATCACCCTTGTTTTCGGCTCCAATCTTACTTAGAAGGCAGCTCAACCATCACCACCCTCACTTGTTTTCAACTTTTGCTTCTCCTCAGCTTCCCTTTTCTGTAAGTTTGTTTCCATTGCTTTTTTTTATTATTATTAAAATTGTTTTTTTTTATTGATTGTTCAGATTTTTGAAGAAATATTAATGGGTTGTTGAGATTCGTGCTTATTATATTACTGATCTGGTTCTTATAGTTTGGGTTGATTTAGTTGTGAATCTTGAATTAATTAAAGGGCAAATTACATATATCCCCCTTGAGGTTTGGCTAAATTACAAATACCCCCCTGAGGTTTGAGAAATTACAAATTCCCCCCTAAATGCTATATTTGCATAACAAATTAGGGAGTAATTTGTTATGAAATTTAAACCTCAGGGGGCAAATTGTTATGAAAATACAAACCTTATGGGGCGGAATGCAATTTCCGAAACCTCAGGGGGTATCTGTAATTTAGCCAAACCTCAAGGGAGGTATATGTAATTTGCCCAATTATTTAACTATAAAAGAGAAGAAATTGCCAACACAATTTCTTTCTTAAATTATTTGGGTTTTGTTAGTGCAACACAAAATAGGGGGGAAAAAAAATAAAATCAGTTTGGTTGTTGCTCTCTCTCTCCCTCCACTCTCCCCTCTATAACATGTACATAGCCTTCCCCAACCCCTCTTATTTACCATGTAAATGTATTGCTGCTAAGTGGTTCATCAAACAGTTGAACAGCAAACAAAAATACACATGAATCACGCACAACAGTCACTGATGCCTTGACTTATCTGTTTACTCAAATTTATGTATGAGTCAAGATTTGGGCAAGGGTTGGGGATGGGAAGTGGTTGTGGGCTGAGGAATGAACCAGATTAGAATCATTAGTAAGCAAGGTAGATGTATCTGGTATTGTTGTCATGTTTATTGACCCTTCTGCCATAGCACCTCCCCCCGCCCCCTCCACCTACTTTGTTCATGGTTGGTGTGTGTGAAATGTAGCTTCTGTATGTGAATAAAGTTTTAAGTGATAATTTTGATAATTTAAGCACATTCGTGTACAAGGAAAATAGAATGACATTTGGGTGTTCTAAAAGATCCATAGAAGTTTCAATGTCAACACATTTGGAAATTTGAAGCTTACGTTACATGTGGCACCGTTATTAGCGTCATTTGCAAAATGGACATCAAGGATTCCAAGCAAAAGGATTTGTGGGGAACAAATTCTCTCTTTAGACCACCATCTTAATAGTAAGAGCTCCCATATTTGAGTTTTTGGTTGGATGGATGCTTTATGTTGTTGATCTTTAGAAATGTAAAATGGTCTATTCTTGATTTTGAAACTTACAAAAATTATGATTTGTGACCTTAACCTTCACTTAATTAGGTAAAAATAGGCAACCATGGTTTACATTCAGTTAACCATTGAAATCCTTTGCCATGTCTTATTCATCATACTCACATATGGGGTAAATGGCCTCATACAGTTTCTGGTATATGACCTTTGATGGTTTTAATTTGGTATATTTTGCTTGGCATGATATGGTGAGAAAAATTGATGTATAAAGAGAGAGTTTCCATGACCAAGGTTGACCCGAAAATGCATTTCTTAAATGGTAACTGCAACACTTCCCATCCCATCCCTGTGACACGTTGCTTGCAAAATAAATGATGCTTCAACATGTAAATTGTGTGTTGTGATAATTTGGTATATTTATCAATTTAATTTGTTATCATTCGAACCCAAGTGAACTTTTTCTTCTTATAGCCATACCTAGATCACTTGTAAACAAGTAGAGGAAACTAGTTCTACAATTTACAGAAGAAAACGATAGGAGTGCCAATCATATGTTGTTTACTTGTCATTGTCTTTTTTTGGCTGTAAAATGGAATATTTATATATCTTATTCATAATTGGTCTGGTCAAATATGTATATTTTGGATCTGCAATTTATATATCTTATTCATTTTTAGACTATAAAGGCTTCAGTTATTGTCCACAGAATCTGCAATTTCAAATCCTCGCCTGCCCTCGTTATGTTTTATAAAATCTACAGCTTGTAAAGTATCTCGCAGCCCAGTGGAAGTTGAAGACGGTATAAATGATGAGGCTTGTGAGCTAGTCAATGGAGTTGAGATTTTGATAGGGGAGGGAGATGACAGTATCCTTGCTTGTCTTTTCACGGTAGTGAAGAACAACAATGGAACTGGCATCTTGCTCTTGTCCGATATCTTAGGATTTGAGGATTCATCCACTAGAGATTTCGCATATCATGTTGCCTGCAATAGTTACAAGTATGTTTCCTGATTTTTAGACATCATGTGTGAAAATACATTTTTACTACACTACAACTACCAAAGACACTTGTATTAGATGATGTTTGATACACTGGGAATAGGGCATACATGTATCTAGTCAGAAGTGGCCTCAGTGCTAGGCAAATAAGATTTTCCATTTGTGATCACACTAACAATTAAAAAAATAGGGAGAGCTATCTTAATCTCGATTTTTTTTTTAAATATTATACTGCTGGTTTCAATTCGTTTTGGGAATTGAAAGTTTTAAACTTGAATGTAATTAGTAATTTTGCATTTCAACATAAAAGAAATATGTATTTCAAATAAAATTTTAAAAATGCTTCATTTAAGTTTTTTATGCCAGTGGCACCTGAACAAACTTGTTTTGCATTTCAACATAAAAGAAAAATATATTTCAAATAAATTTTTAAAAAGGCTTCATTTACGGTTTTATGCCTTTGGCACCTGAACAAACTTGAGCATTCTGTATCTAATGCTGCTGGTCTATGCATTGATATCCATGTTGTCTTGTCTTTCCATATCTTTGTCAGCATTGTTAACGATTCTTAAAATGATCCTTTATATAATTTTTATTGATGTTTTTCTTGAAATAAATATTGTTAGTGTACTAGTACCGGACTTGTTTCGTGGGGATCCATGGGCAAAGGATAGACCAAAGACTTTATTTGAAGCATGGCTGGCACAACAAACCCCGAAAAGGATTGCAAAAGACATTACAACCTCAAAAAAATGGATGATGGATGAGTTTGTAGCTGCAGGAATCTCAAAGAAGCTTGGTATCATCGGATTCCGCTTTGGAGGTGGCCGACTAATAGATGCGCTCGCCCAGGACGGGGGTGCCTGTTTTGGCATTGGGGTTTCATTCTATGGCACAAGAATTGACCCATCTTTCGTTGCTAATATAAAGGTGTTTGTATTGTTCGTTATGGGTGACAATGATCCGAGTTGTCCGGTCAGTGCCTTGGTAGATGATTTTTTGAATGTGAATTTTGATGTACATGTGGATGTATTGTATTTTAGAAAATATTAATAATTTGTACTGGGAATGAATTAATAGATGTGGATGTATTGTATTTTGATGTAGATGTGAATTTTATTTTTACAGATGGTTTTTGGAGTGGAAAAGTGGATATTCTTTATTTTTGTGCAGAGGACATTGTTTTTTTTAGAGGCATTTACATACAAGTCCCATTTTGTGAACTTATAATCCATTAAGTCCTAAATAAAATTATTTGCTCCTTCAAGTCCCATTAATTTTTAATGCATATAACATATTACTTTTGGCATGGTATAGATTACCATTTGACATGGTATTGTGGATATTTCTTTTTTTGTGTACGGCAAACATGATTTTTGTATAATCCTCTGTTTTGTATAGAATTATTATTTTAGGTTGGATTATGCTTGATTCGTATGGAATTTCTATTACATTTCAAATTTGACGTTAAAAGTTAAATTTTCTTGGATTGTTATTATTTTCTTTATATACAAGGTACAGGTTGCACAGAATAAATACAGGTTGTAGTGAAATAAATATATATATGTATAAAAATAAAAACTAAAGAAAGTTTTTTACGATTAAAAATTTAGTAGCTAAAAAGAAGTGAAGTTGTTGGCGACCAACCAATTCGTAGCCAAAAGGAAATAAAGGCTTCTTCGATATTTTTTACGACTAAACATTTAGTCACTAAAAAAGCTACAATCTTTTGCCTACAAAAAAGTTTGGTTGCTAGCTAAAGGAGTCAATTAGATGTTTGGCTACAAAATTAATTTGTCACCGATAATGGAAAAAAGAATTGGCGACTATATATTTTAATCACTAAATAAAACATAGTAGTGATAAATTTATCTACGACTAAAAATTTAGTCGATAAAAGTTCAAAATAAATTTTAAAAAAAAATTATGGCGACTAAATTATTAGTCGACGAATGGTATTTTTTGGCTACTAAAATAATTTTAGTCGACTAAAAATGATTTTTAACAATTAAAAATTTAGTTTTCAAATGTGCAATTTCTTATAGTGTGTAACTAGTTTGAAGATAATTCATAGTGTGAAGATAATTCTAAATGATAATTTTTATACCCATGCTTGATAGTGTGAAGATAATTCTAAATAATAATTTATATATTTTTTTGCAAAGTATATATTATTTAAAATTTATTATCATAATTTTGCGGTGTTGGTGTAAGAGGCGGCACCCTTTGTCCAATCCATTCGAATCCAATTATAATTGAGTTTGAGTTTGTAGGATAAAATTCATTTAAATTACGACGAATTTCTCACATAAAATTACATAATTATTTAATGCTAATTGAATTTGTAAATATTTATACACAAGCATCAACATACATCATTATTACATCACAATTGCTACAATCATCACTAATATTGCTACAACCATCATCACCGTCACTGTCACTGTTAGAACCACCACCACCACCATTATGAAGCCACCATTGTTGTTACCACCACCTTTATTATCCTTTTCATCATTATCATAAAACATACCATCATTTCAAGTAGTAAAACTTCATTATCTTCAAATAGTGAAATTTAACCTTAATATTTAGGTGAAATTATTAAAAAAGTGAAATTTCTACTAAAGAAATAAAAATTACAAAATTAAAGGCAAAGATGAACTAGCGAGTAAATGGAAAACTTACAAGTTAAAGAGAGATATCATCAATGGACTCGTTGGCAAAAAAGTGATTGTCACTATCATTTAAATTAGCTAACAATAATTTAATTTTCTTAATTAATTTGTTGTCTAATTAATCGTATAATGTGTGTAATTACCAAAATTTTACGTTAATTTGAAATTCCCTCTCAAAATTTGGGACCCTCCAAGTTTTGCCCCAAATCCCTCCTACGTTTCTCATGTCTCTTTCTCTTCCTCTCTCTCACACGACTACTTATTCTCATTCTTCCTCCCTCACGGACGATTTTGTTGCTCCATTCCACCATTGTACCGCCCGAAATCCAAAGTCGACACCGCCGATTCACGAACTTAGAGTATTTCATTCTAATCAGGTAAGTTGATTTCTGTTTCTTTCTCTAGATCTTATTAGCCATAATTTCTCACAAATCGACTCCTTCTCTTAGCAATCTCTACCTCACACACCTTTACCGCCCTGGAATCACTACGATACCATGCCACCGTTGGCACCGTCTCTCTGAATACAGCGGAACCCTATTTCGTCGCCATAGTCCCCACATTCGCACGACCCATCGCTACTACCAGCCAATCCTACCGGTAAGCCCGCTTTCCATTGTTTTTGTTGTCCATCTTCATCATCTCTTGCTTCCTGCCATCGTGCCCTAATATCTTCCTCTTTCTCTCTTAACCACCATATTTCGTTCTGGGCATATGTTAATTTCTAGATTTGGTAATTCGAAAAGTATTTTGTGTCAGTACTTCACATTTATGTTTCTTTGATCAATTGCAAATATATGTTTATGTGTTCGCCTTGCTCACTTTCTCCCTCCCCTCTTTTCTACTTACCAAGCTCCCTCTAGACTTATCGATCCACTATAAGAAAATGCACTTTTAGCGACCACTTTGTCTCTCTCTCGCTTAACACTCTGTCTCTATCTCTCTCTCTCTCTCTGTCTCTCTTCTCCATCTGTCTCTCACTCATCTCTCTCTCTCACCACACATCTCCTCTAGTACCTTCACCACTACTGCAAATGTCATTCCACTACCACCACTACTACCACTGTTGCCACTCCACCTCTACGACTACCATTACTACCACCATCACTACCACTCCATTACCACCACTACCACCACCACTATTGCCACTACTGCTACCATTACCTCTCCTCCACCACCGTCACTCCATCTCCTCTACCTCTACCACTACCATAACTTCACCACTAATCTCCTTCGTCATGACCTCTTATCCACCACCTTCACCACTACTACCGCACCCTCTCCTCTACTACAAAAATTAGTTCATGATTTACAGTAACAAAAAAAAAATGGGCTGCAAAAAAATATTTTCCATTGACCACAAAAAATTAACTTTATTTTAACAGAAAATATTTTTAATTAAAATATTACCCCTATTTCTACCAAATAAAAAATAATAATAAAATTTTTCAGTAAAATAAAAATGAAACAAATAAATTTTCAACCTTTGTAACCTAAAAAAAAATTGAAAAAAAAAATCATTAACTACAAAAAAAGAAAATAACAAAAAAAATTTCTTTTCATTTTCCCACTCACAAAAAATAAACTTTATTTTAACAGAAAATATTTTTAATTAAAATATTACCCCTACTTCTACCAAATAAAAAATAATAATAAATTTTTTTAATAAAATAAAAATGAAACAAATAAATTTTCAACCTTAGTAACCTAAAAAAAATTGAAAAAAAATAAAAATAAAAAAAAATCATTAACTACAAAAAAAAAATTAACAAAAAAATTTCTTTCGTTTTCCCGCTCTCTCCCCTTCTGTTTCTCACGATCTCAAATCCCCAATCCCTAACCCAACACTCCCTCTCACTCTTCTCTCTTTTATCTCTTCCGCCTCCTACGTCGTCGGCTCTGGTCACCACTGCCGCCGCCACACCTCCTCCCTCACCGCCCTCTTTCTCTTCTCCTATTCTCTTCACCGGTCATCTTCTTCGTCTTCTCCACTCTTGTTGTCGGATCCAAAACCCTAACCCTACCTTCGATCTTCTCCAATCCCTCCACAAGCCATATGTTCAAATCCAGACCCTCAACTGTTTTAGAACCTTTGTCTACAAAGGACTATCGTCGGACTCGTCAGAACGACGATCTCGAACGGGCTGATTGCGATGAGAAAGACCAGGCGGTGAGGCACATTAATGCGTCAGAAACGAAATCAGAAGATGGACAGTTCATCTTTGCCCTAATTTTTCTCTCCATTTCTGCTCAAATATAAGTATGATATAGTCGTCCTCAATGTGGGTTTCTTGGGTTACTGGTACTAGTCTTAACTGTGCACTTTATGTGTTTGTTTAATTGACTGAATAGTGTGTTTGTTGGAATTACAAAATAAAAGGCCCCCTTTTCGCTCCTCCTCTCTATTCCTTTTGTAATTTTCATTATCTATATAATTTTGAGTTCAAAATGGAACATTTTGTTAACATCATTTGGTCATAATCGTTCCCATCTGCTAGCCATTCAGATATTAATTTCAATTTCTTCAAATTGTTTTGTTGATAAAATCTTTTGGTGTGTTCCACAGATTTGTGATCAAATTCGGGGAAAAAGAACATCTTTACAAGTTTGTTTTGCATTTCTTAGTTGACCACCATGTGCAGCAGCACAATAATATTTGAGCATAGTCGAAGATACTATAACCTCTCCATATGCAGCAGCATAATAATTTTCAGCATAGTACAATGAATTTGAGAAGCACATACTACAGGCTACATTATCTGCGGACCTACCTTCGTAAAAAAAACATTGTTTATTTTAATTGTTGTTAAATTATTATAATTTTATTTAGTAAGGTAATTGTTTTGTTGGAAAGAACATGCCTATGAGTTCTGCTCACATGGAACCCAACTTGCCTTTTTCTCCAGTTTTTGAGGCCTACGGGATTTCATACTAATTATGTGATACAAAGAATGCTCCAAAATTTTGCAATATGAATACGAAAAGAAAAAAAAAAGTCATTTGCATGGAACTTAAAAACTTTAGAAAAGTAATAAATAATAATCATAGAAAACACAAACAGAGAAAAAAAGAACTTGGGTTTTGGTGAAAGGCAAGAGAGGCTTTTGGAACATATTATTGAATTTAACTTGAATTGAATTGGATGCACATGGCTGATATTAGATAATGATATCCCTAACATTTCCACCCCAGTAATCACAAGGACCCCTTTTCGCTCCTCTCTATTCCTTTTGTAATTTTCATTATCTATATAATTTTGAGTTCAAAATGGAACAGTTTTTTAACATCATTTGGTCAGAATCGTTCCCATCTGCTAGCCATTCAGATATTAATTTCAATTTCTTCCTTCGTGTATGAACAATTTCTTCAAGTACTTGTAGTTGTGAATATGCATGACACATAAACCTCAAACAATTTAAAGTTATATGATTTACATTCACCCACAAATTCATAGTTTTCTGACTACTATTACTTTTAATGAAATTCCCCACAATTACTTCTGCATCTTTGGACCATTAGTAACAACTTTTCCCTATGGATCGTTTAATGCTACCATCTTATCTATATCCATAGAACTAAATCATCTTAGTTACCCTGGTGTCCTTTAATTTAAGTTTTTTTCCCATCTAATTTAACTTGCACCATTTTTGGGAAGATTGCAAATAAGGAGTATGGACATTTTTGCTAGTTTATATTATACAAAAGTGAGGTTTTAACAATAAAGGTTGAGCTCTAAAGCATTAACTAAATTTCTTAAAAAAGGTTGAGCTCTAAAGCGTTTAAAAAAGTGAACTAAATCATTTTTTCTTAATTCTTAACTAAAAAATTTATCTCAGCCCTTTGTGTCCGTGGTCATTTTGGAGCTTCTTGGAATTAATTCGTTCTATTGTTAGACAAGTGTTTGGCTTGGAGAATTGAAGTAGGTTAGGATTGGCCAAACATAGATGCATCAGTTGCATTGGTGTTTTATGGGTCTTTCTCATTTGTTTACAATATGGAGAGGGTTAAGTTAAAGATAAAGAGATTAGAGAGCACTAGCAATCAACAAGTGACCTATTTGAGAAGAAGGAATGGAATCTTGAAGAAAGCTAAAGAATTATCCATATTATATGACATTGACATTGTCCTTCTCATGTTTTCTCCAACTGGAAAGGCAACATTATTCCGCAGAGAGCGCAGGTATTTTCAAGTCTCCAATTGTGCCTATATAAAATTTTTGTGAAATTTGATGTATGGCATGAAAAATTAAACAAAATTCACTTGGATTTATGTGCACCATTTATCATTTCTTGAAATCATGTGTTTTTTTGTTCAGCAACATTGAAGAGGTTATTACAAAATTCGCTCAACTGACACCACAAGAAAGGACAAAAAGGTCAGTACAGATATGCTTTAAATCTATGAGGATGAAGAGTTGTTTTTCTTTTCTTTTCTTTTTTTTGGTTAAATTTGAACTGCATTTGTCACAATGTCACTAAATAATTTTTATTTGAATGACCAGGAAGTTGGAGAGCCTTGAAGTAAGATTAATACTGCCCGTTCTCTAGTACACCAATTCATTCTTTCTTTCTCTGTTTTCATTAAATATGAAATGATAAACGTATCATATTCATTCAAGCCTTTTGGTGTTCTATTTGAGAATATAAGCACTAAAGAAAACCTATAAGAAGTTGGACCATGATGTAAATATACAAGACTTTTTGGGTTCAAGGTTTGTGTTTATTTTGATGAATCTTTTAAATCTTAAGGGATTAACCCTCGTGAAAGAACTAACGTTTTTTTTTTTTCCTCATTTCACAACACTCAATGAATTGAGGTTAGCCCTTTGTCACTGTTGTCACCGTAATGTTTTGAATTTGAGTTCTTATTCATTGCTAGAATCCCAGTGAACTTTTTGACATCTCTTATTTAAGTTGTTATGGACAGGAATTATCCAACCAATTGAGGATGATGCGAGCTCAACTTACAGAAGCACACAAGAGACTGAGTTGCAACTTTGAAGCTCATATTTGTTAAAGTATTACCTTCCCTCCCCCTCCCCCCTTTTCTTTTTGGTTTTGTGAATCATAAAATTGGCATGATATAGTTATGCCCCGAAAAGCCCAATCAATTAAATTTTGCAATATAATTTTGTCTACATTGTTTTGTTCTAGGTTAAGATAAACTTAATACAATGTTTATAGATGTGGAGGCTTTGAACAATCGTCATTCTGTCTTTTACTTTTTTGTAGCCGGTAAATTAGTTCAAGTCAGTGATTTCCCCATTGTGGTATAACAGTTGCAGCTTTGTTTTGTTTTATTTTAGTCACATTTCATATAGTCTGTTTCACGGTTTGTACATGTGCATAACTGTTTCTCACATTTTGTATCTGTGTGCCTTTACACTTACCAAAAAATTTATATAATTTGATTTATGTGTGTGACGTTTGCGTTTATATTTTTTGTAATCGCGGGATATTTCATGGATTGCTTACTGCTCCAAATTATTTCATGGATTGCGTTTATATTTCTTAAAATATATGATTTGGCAAAAATTTAAAGATTGACTAAGAAAGAATAAACAACTTTAGAGTTGTTCATAATTGTTTTATGTTTTGTCTACAAAATCTGCGTAGATTTAATGTTTAGTGGTGTTTTTTGTTTACATGTATTTCTTTAGTGTTCAAAAACTTGAAAACAAGTCATGATTCTATGGTCGTTCTATCTTATTCATAGAATGCCAGTTGCATAAAATGATTTCTAGTTCATTATTAAAGGAGTAAGAAGTTTGAAGATATAAGAGTGGGGTTTCTATTTGATTAATAGTGAAGCTTGTCTGTTTTTGCTAGTAGTGGATAAGGATGCATAATTTATTTGTTGTGAAACAGAGGCTTTTACCTTTCTGATTCTTCTTTGTTCTATTTGTTCATCTTCATGTATGGTGCCTTGTCAACTGGGATTATTTGTGACTGTAAAACTGGTTATAAAATTTCAGCGGCCGGTATATAAACGCAGCCACAAACCGCCATTTAAGAGAAACCCTACAAAATCTGTGTGTGTGTGTGTGTGTGTGTGACCCTTTTCTTCTCCTTCAAGACATACCATACCTTTCTCCATAGGTATATCATCAATCAAATCAATATATAATTTATTAGTTTGTGAAATTCTTACAGTTGGTACAGTCGAGTTCCATAATCCCATCCATGGCTGTTCTCTAGAGCTAGAGCTGAGCTCCTCTGTTATTAGTGTGTTTTGTGAAGAAAATCCATGGTGGGTTTTGGAAGTTCAGCTTTTGTTTTGTTAATGGTCTTTTTTTTGTGTTTTTTTTATTTTTGTTTTTCCTTCTCTTCTCCTAGTGTTGTGTTGATGCTGGTTTAGGTGTTTGAGGTAATGAAAAAGCAAGAGGAGATGAGGCTGACAGAATTGACTACAAAAGGGGCAGAATTTAAAGCTATGCAAGCTGAAGCTGAAACCGTATGATTGCCATTTCTCTATCAATTTTTTATTGAATTCTCTGCATTTTGGTAATTCATAGTGCCTCGTGAGAAATAAAATGAAAAGGGAAGTAGCTTGTTCTGCCTTAGTTTCATGTAATTGTGAAACTGATAAGCCAACTCCTTTACATTGGTTCTATTGGGTCTAAATTTAATCCACGCACCATACCAGCTTGGGTTACTAAGGGATATTCAGAAGAGAGGAGATTGATGAATCAATCCCATTTGGCAATCCTTAAAAGCATAGACGTTACAAAGAGAGTAGTAGCCAGAATGGTTGGTTGCACCTCTGTAGTTCACCAAATTAGGCTTTCCAACAGCTCAAACATTACCCAATTGACTAAAAACTGGCTCAGAGGAAACAAACTTAGCTATCACTCTCAGGAGCTCTAGAGTCCACAAGGCAAAGATATTTTTGATGAGTTAAAAAAATGGTCTTTTTCAGTTTTTTTGGTTCTTCTCAATATATGGAAATTTGTTTTTTGAACCACATGCAAATTAAGGCTGGTAACCACAGATGTGAGTAAAATTATTTTGATATGTAACAATGAATTACCTTTTGCCTAAAGGCGGTTCTAAAAAAAATTATTATGTTGGGATGTTGGAATATACTTCAAAGTCAAAGGGAAATTAGCATTACTTGAAAAAAAAACTTGTGGTATGTATTCTGGATAGGGAACTTTATGATTATGATTTCTAATGAGTTATTTTTTTCTACTGAATCATTTTTCTATTTTGGAATGATTGTTGTATTCATAGGTGTATTAAGTAGGATACTCTAAATGACATAGACAAGTACTTCAATTATTTGTCTTTTTTATTACTTTAGTTTTTCATGAGAAAGAAAATTAATGTGGGAATCTCTTTATTTTGTTGTTTTGCGGTAATCTAAAATGACATTGCTGATAGGATATGAGTCCAAATGGCAGTTTGGGTGATTTCGAAGATAGGTAATGGTTATTTCACATTTAATAGTTTTTGTTTTTGCACGAAAATGGGATGCAATTTCAGCAACATGAGTTTTTTTTTTTTTTTTCATTGACAAGCTGTAGAGAAGCAAGAGCTAGGAAGAACAAGTACATGATCTTTGATGGTGATAGTTACTGTGTGGGATGAGTACATTGAGTAAGCATTTTAGTACAATCCTGGGCCACTTAATTTTAGTTATAGAATTTGATGCTATTCACATTATGAACATTTGGTGATTTCATGAATTTCAAACCAAATTGACTATAATTTTAAACATTAGCATTGTTTAGAATGCCTAAATTGACCTTAATTTTTATTTTATTGAATAAGTTCTTGTGGGAGTAGAAATGTAGTTGTGGGCTACTTAATACAAAGTTTATAATGTCCTCTATCCATCTGAGCTTTAACTCAACACAAGGAGTTCAAAGTGGAAAATTATGAAGCATGTTAAAAGAACAATATCTTAAACCTTGAATCAAATATAACAAGCATCCTAGTAGTATTATCCTGTCAAGATCCTCTCCTACATATTATTTATATACATGCTATGTATATATGTACATATGTAATAGATGATAGTCTGCAAATGTTATTTGATATTAAGGGTCCTCTAATTGTTTGAAAAAATGCCTGACTAAAAAAAAAACCGTGTTTGCTTATCCATGATGACTGAACAATCACAAGTGGAATGATAATTGAGTTGATTTTGGAACCAATGTCCTTTATACAAGCTGCTATGCATATTCTTTCCTTTTTTCTACAGCATTTGCTTGGATGTGTGTTGGAGGAGCCATTTATCAAAATACTTGACATTTATGCTTTCCTCATAAACTTCAAGTTTATGTTGAGAAAACTACCAGGGCATTTTCAAATATTTTAACTGCCTAAATTTCAACTTTATGTTGAGAACTTAGATGTTGAGAAAACTGCAAGGGCATTTACAAATATTTTAACTACCAAAATTTCAACTTTATGTTGAGAATTTAGATATTGCACTTTGTGTGTTTTGAATGGATGTATAATTTTGGGCACTGCTGAGCTAGATGAGTTTTTTTATTTATTTATTTTTACCTCCTAATTTTCTGTGGTTATATACTTCTCTAAATCCAATTTTAATTTTTTTGTTCTTCGTTAATGGAAAAAAAAAAAGGAAGTTCTTTTTGCCCCTCTCTGGCTGTCTTCAATTAGAAGATGGGTCTCTTTATTTTGACCTATATATTGCTTATGCATGTGAATTTTGGTTTTTTGGTCAACTATGATTGGAAGTGTGATAAGAGAATTGTTTAAATTTGTAGATAAAAATTATGCTAGGGTTTGAGTTTTATTGCGTTTTGGTATAGGTAGAGACGACAATTTCTAGGGTTATTAAGAATTGATGAGATAGGAGAGTGCAATGAGAGGAGTGTAAGAAGAATGCTACTGATCTCTATCAATGAACTCATGATGAGTAGTTTTAGTTACTGAATGCTAAAGAATTGCAAGTACATAAGTTTATCAATTAATGTTTCATTATCTTTCCACCTACACTATGGGCAAACAAACAGACCCTGAATTTTAAATTTGTTTCAGTTTTTTTATTGAAGGACTTGGGCATTTGTGCAATGTTGTGCAACCAAAATTCAAATTATTGTCATGGTTGACCACAAGAGATTACTTGGAATTGTACAATAGTGTGAAACAAAAGCTGAAATATCTATTGACTAGCAAATTTGTTGTAGTGAGGGGTGAGGGGAGGGGAAGGGGAAGGGGAAGGATTGTTTGGGTGACTTTTTTTGTCTCTTCATATGATTGTTTGTCCACAAAATAGAACAGAGGTCAGAAATCAAGTACAAGAAATAAACTACTTCCTTACGTTCTATTCATATTAAGTATTTGAGACATTTATGGAAGAAAATGATTCTTTATTTCCCTTTCTATTTTGAAATTTTTGTCTGAAGTCTGTGTGATTGTGAGTTAGACAGTTTGACAATTGGACAACAAAAATAAGAGCAGTCCAAAAACAAAGCTGGAAACTGAGAGCAAGCATATTTTGTTATTTGATTAAAAAAAGGTCAATTAATGGTGTTTGATTACAATTCTAGATTCTAGATTATTTAATTTTTTCAATTTTTTTAACCCAAAAAAATTGAGATTACTTAACTTACAATTGAAATTTTTTTCAACTTAAGAATGTGCTTGATTCTTTTAAACATGAGCAGAATAAATTTGAAATTATAATTTAGAAGCTAAATAGTATAATGATAGTAGAAAGAAATGAGAAAAAGAGACATAACCTTCTTTTTTTTTTTTTGTCTTCATAAATGTAGGTTTGAAGCGATGTGGTAAGAGTTGCGGGCTTAGATGGTTGAGAACTATCGTATTGTGTGGCTCACAGGTAGAATTTTGTTCCTCTTCTCTTCCCATCAATTATTTTTCTTCTTCATCGTCACTTCTTTTTATCACCTTCACATTTACAGTTTTTTGTGCAAAATAGATCACTTCTTATTTTTAATCTCTATAGCAAAGGTTAGCAGCCAAGTGTGAAATCTAGCTTGTTTTATACGACTTTTATAGGGTCTGTTATGACTTATGGTACATAGTGTTGCGTGGTTAACATAGTCAAAAAATGCATATGCATCTAAATGCATCAAGTCGGTAACAGTAAATGCTGCAATTGATTGCTCATTGACTCAAGTCATGGAAAAAGTGTTACTTTTTCTTTTTGCAAATCCACATCATTCTATAGATCCAATTGGCACATGATGATGAGTGTGTTTGAACTTAACTCCCAGGCACATACATTTTTTCACTTTTCTCAAAGATCTAGAACCCTTTATTTGTGATCTAAGATATTGGTTTCCGATTCAAGTCACAATTTTTTTTTTTTCCATTTTATCTCCTTTTCATATCTTTTCCATTGATTTGTTGCAATTTCATCAAAATTTCATTGGAGACCTTTTTCGAAAGCTATAAATAAATTATCTTGCACGATACAGCTTCACTAATTGGTAGAGCTGGGGATTGTACCCCCAACTCCGGTGAGCTGGGCATAAGGGCCTGGCACTGAGCCACCCTAGAGGCTCATTAATGATTTGTTTTGTCTATACAGTTGGTGTGAACAGCCTTTTTGGGCTTTTTTTCCTTTCTGTTTTAAATTATTCTTTTGCATTTTTTTTATATACATAACATCATTTCAATCTTCCTATTCTCCTTGTGTGAGTTTCCCATTTTTTGCTGCTTCAATGCTTTCTCCAACTCCCTCATAATCTCTCCTCTTGTGTCTACAATGAATACATAGGAATTTTTTTGCATCAATTTAGCTAACTATCCAAAGCTTCATGAATTTTGTAACAGTACCATGTGTTGAAAACTCAGACAGAGACTTACAGGAAGTAGGTTAGTGCATCATCTAATAGTAATTTTAGAACATGCAATTGTTTCTAGCACTTTTTTATTGTTTCCATTTTGAAATTGTTTTTGGATTTGGATCATTGCTCTTATCTGTCGTTGCAGGTAAGGAAGATGGAAGAAAGGCATAGAAATCTCCTACTGGACCATGTAAGTATCTTGAACCTAAAAAAAGTTAATTTGTTTTCCAAATAAAATACATTTATGCTTCCTAAAATAAGTTCATGCCACTTTCAGCCTCTAATTTTGATTTTGTCCTTTAGATATTCAATTTGATTCAAATTAGTTTAATTTCAATTGGACATTTCAGCCTCTCCTATATATTTATTTCTCATCAATATATACATGCTATGTATATCTATATATATGTAATAGATGGTAGTCTGTAAATGTTATCTGATATTAAGGGTCCTCTAACTGTTTGAAAAAAATGCCTGACTAAAAAAAAACTGCGTTGGCACAATGAGGTTCATGATGGTAGGTATTCTTTAGTTTATTCAACTTTCCGACAACTAGCTTTATGATATTTTTCGAAGTTGTAAGTATTCTACATCTGCTTTACCAGCTGAGAAAGACAAGGAATTTTTTGAAGATAAGCTATCTTCCAGTGCAACAGCTCTTGATAATTTGCACAACCAAATGAAGACGTCGTCTTTGAGATTTGAGTCTTCAGAGGAAATTTTTGGAAATTTCAAGTTATCCTTATTTCCTATATCATAAAAAGTTCTCAGATAACTTCCAATAATAAGAATTGTCGATGCTGCCAAACAGAAGCTTATCATAAATTTGTAAGCAAAGAACCAGGTATGTCCATTTGCTTCACTTCTTTTCAGAGTTATGAAATATGTTTGAATTTTGAATGTAGGCAAAAGAGAGTTGAAAGAACTCAGCATTGAAAAAGAGGAGAGGGAGAAATATTTCAGAGATGAACAGTGCAAAACTACCAATGTCAATGAGGAAAAAGGTAGCATCTTCATTGATTGCTTCTGTTTATGGTTTGTTTCTGGACTGGCTACCCCATCAGGACTCAAATTACTTTGGTTCAAGACCAATTCATTGAAATAATGTATTAATGAGTAGCAAATTAAAGCTTGCATCCTAAAAAAGTTGCATGAAAACACTTTGAGGTTAACATACCTAACGGTTCACATCTTGCCTAGAGTAAGGTGCAGCCGAGGTCCATGCCTCACGTGGCCACCTTTCCTTATTTGAGAAATTAATAGATTTGACCAAAATATGGGTTGTCATAATATCATTAACATTTGAAGACAATCTGAACAGTTGTTGTAACAATAAGGAGTGCTGAGTGAGTTGAATTGAGCTCGGTTTCTATTACCAGTTTGCTACTGCTGCCACCATGCTCTTCCTATATTAGTGATAGTAGTAATATTACACATTTAACTTAATGATTCATTTAATGAATTTTAATGCATTTGGAGTTTTAAATAAGCCATTCCAATTGGAAACAGAGGCATACTTCTATAAGGTGGTTGTATGTCTTGTTGTCATCCTTTAATTCCATATGTCTGAGCTTTAGGATGTGTTGAGCGTGTTTCGAATAGGTGGGTTGAGCCTTAGTTCAAATTCTTGTTGCCTAGTTTTGAGTGGTCCGCTCGAGCGGGTCCTAGTGTGCTCGAGTAGAGATTCCATACTTCCAGCATTTCGTGCCTCTGCAAAAGTACTGTAGGCTTGTTTTTCACGCTCGAGCGGGTTTCCCTACGCTCGAGTGGGCCCTTTTGGCGCTCAAGCGGGTGTTCACTGTCTGAGAAAATACTGGGAGGGAAGAATCTATGCTCGAGCGGACTGGTTTTCGCGCTCGAGCGGATGTGTTTTGTTTTTGTGTCTTGGAGCTCGAGCGGGCCTTCTTGCGCTCGAGCGGGTCCAGTTTTTGTGCTAGACGCTCGAGCGTCTTGTTCTACGCTCGAGCGGGGGTGTCGTATATCAGTTGACAGCTAGGCTATTTTGAATCACTTTTCAACTTCCATTCTCTCTCTTACTTTTCCAAAAATTGATTTTGAGAGCTCCTCTCTCTAGAATCTCCCTTCTCTCTAGGGTTTGATCTAGCTAGAGTGATTCACTCCCTTGGTGTCTTTGTAAAAAGTGTGTTGATCGTTGAGGGCTACATTTTGATCCGAAAAGTTTGATGTGTTGAGCGTGTTTCGAATAGGTGGGTTGAGCCTTAGTTCAAATTCTTGTTGCCTAGTTTTTGAGTGGTCCGCTCGAGCGGGTCCTAGTGTGCTCGAGCGGAGATTCCATACTTCTAGCATTTCGTGCCTCTGCAAAAGTACTGCAGGCTTGTTTTTCACGCTCGAGCGGGTTTCCCTACGCTCGAGCGGGTCGCGCTCGAGCGGGTGTTCACTATCTGAGAAAATACTGGGAGGGAAGAATCTACGCTCGAGCGGACTGGTTTTCGCGCTCGAGCGGATGTGTTTTGTTTTTGTGTCTTGGAGCTCGAGCGGGCCTTCTTGCGCTCGAGCGGGTCCAGTTTTTGTGCTAGACGCTCGAGCGTCTTGTTCTACGCTCGAGCGGGGGTGTCGTATATCAGTTGACAGCTAGGCTATTTTGAATCACTTTTCAACTTCCATTCTCTCTCTTACTTTTCCAAAAAGCCATTGTTGAGAGCTTCTCTCACTACTTTCTCCCTTCTCTCTTAAGATTGATTTAGTTGGAGTGTTCTCCTACCCTTTGGCCTTTACAAAAAGTGTGTTGATCGTCGAGGTCTACGTTTTGATCCGAAAAGTTTGGAGTTTGGAGCACTTTGAGTTTGGTCCTCTCCTCCGTTTGAGCTCTAACTTCGAGGTAGGGATATCCTACTCCATCTTATGATCTTTGTCTTTAAATTTTGGCATTTTGATATGTTGGGGGTTGTTGGGAAATTTTGAGAAGGTTTTGGGGTCTTTATGTAATTTTCAAAAGATGGGGTTTCAATCATATAAACCTTTATGTATGTAATACATTGGAAGATGGACTTGGTGTTGGATTATTGATGGAAAACGGAACCTTAGAGTTGGTATTGTAAATATGGGAAAAAGCCCTAACTGTTTTGATAAATTAATTTGTATAATTAATTTAGGAAAATGAGAAATTGAATAGGAAATATTCAAATTGGGAAGGTACGGGATCAAAGGGTGTTGTTGGATTAATTTATCGCTCACCTAGGTAAAATGTTGATACTTTATCCATTTGGTGCATTTATTTTCTGTTTAGAAATAACTGCTTTGGGCTATCGGTGGAGGATAGTCTTGATTGTTGTAGACAATGCATGATGATTAGGCAAACTATAACTAATCAAATAACTGCTTTGTATTGATTGATTAAATTTGTATATGATAATTGTTTATATACATTGTATTGTGTGGGAGGAAATGAGGGATGTACTCCACAGTTTATTGGAAGATGGGGGATGGACCTCTAAACCGGATTTGTTTGAGATTTATATAGCACTACAATGTGTATCATTTGTGAGTTATAGAAGTGTTTTGTTTGACATTGATGTAGCACTAAAATGTGTATCACTTGTCTTGATTGATTAAATTTGTATATGATAATTGCTTATATACATTGTATTGTGTGAGAGGAGATGGGGGATGTACTCCACGGTTTATTGGAAGATGGGGGATGGACCTCTAAACTGGATTTGTTTGAGATTGATACAGCACTAAAATGTGTATCATTTGTGAAGTATAGAAGTGTTTGTATGATTTGATATAACACTGTAGACACCCTATTTTTGACCGTCCTCAAGACTTGGTCGTCACCGTTTGAACACTCGGTGATTATCCATGTTTGTGTTCGTTTGGAGTTCCCGGAGGCCTCGGCTCGCGTGCCTTGCTTCAGGATCTCCGAACTTGACCGTTTAGTGTCTGGTTTTACACCAAACACTTGTGTTTTTCCTTTGAGAGGCAAGGTAGGGTTTGTAGACCATCCCCACCCACCACCGGCAGTGGCTAGAGGCCACCGGCTGGTTTTTGCTACCACCGGCAATGTTTATTGTCGGCCGGCACTATTTGTTACCGGTCAGCACTTTTTAGTGCCGGCCGGCACTCTTTTTGGCCAAGATGGCATTTTTGGCCGGCCGACTACTGTGTATCTGCTTTTGCAGATATTTTAAGACAGCTGTCTTGCATTTTGCTCCCCTCCATACACGTGTATGGAGGGATCTCCCTCTTATGAAGCTTGTCTTGTAAGCTTTACAAGACAAGAAGTGCCATAAAGGGAGAGGCTTGTCTCTTGGCTTGAGAGGTTAGAGACTTGAGATATTTTGAGAGCTTAGACATCCATTGTTAGGGTTTGAGTTCTAGGGTTAGGGTTAGATACACATTCTATCTCTATTTCCCTCTCTTTTGTGCTCTTGTGTGTGTTTTAGTCCATACTATTGCACACAAGCACCTAGTGTTCCACCTTCCTCTTGGAACTGAGGTTCTAAGGGACTGATTTTGAAGTTTTGGTGTTGGATTCAAGCTAAGGAAGGCCATTGGAGCATCATTGTTGAAGAAGGCTTCAAGGGTAAGAATCTCACCCCTTTTTACCCCATTTTTGCATTGTATTTCTACCTATCTTAAATTCGTTTTTGAGCTTAGTGTATAATACAAAAAAAATCTGTTTTTTAGTCCTCTTGATTGTTTATTAAGAGTGTTTTTTGGTTTGGAGGTGTTTGACCCCTCTTAGGCCTTGAAAGGCCCCATTTTGAGCAAGTTTCGAGACTTTGGTGTTTGGGCCTCTTCACCACTGAAATCTTGAGGGATTTCAGTGGTGGAGATGGTGCCTTGAAGTCTCCAAAAGGGGAGGGCCACCCCCTCTCCTTGTTGTCCTTGAAAAGGGCATGTTTTGGCCTCTTAAGGAAGCCTATGCTTGAGTGTGTGTTGAACATGT